GGAATTAATTCAGGCTGTGGATTGTGCTGGGCAAGCACTCTACCACTGAGCTACATTTCCAGTTCTTTATTTTATGTTTGAGACAGTTCTTACCATGTTGCCCAGGCTGGCATCAAATTTGTGATCCTCTGAATAGCTAGGATTACAAGTATGCACCATTGTGCCCAGCTTTTGGGGTGTGTGGTTTTGTCACAATTTAAGACAAAATATATTTTGGCAAAATTTAAAATTCACATCACTCCTATTTTTCTTGAGTGTTTTGCACACGAGCAATCATCCTCCTTTCTCAAACATCTTAAAAAATAAAATATCATATCCAATAATGGATTTGCCAGTAAGAACTTTGTAATTTTCTGATGGAATCATCTATTTTAACAAGGTCATTCTTGGCAGGTGCCTGGATAGCCTCAAAATGGAGGCTGGTTGCTAGGGGAACCAACCAGGTGATAAAAAGGTTGGAACTTTCAGGATCCCACCCCCGTACCTTCCAGGAGGTGCTAGGGATTGAGTGGATACTAATGACCAATTATGTCATCAATCATGCCTACTTGAGGAAGCTACCATAAAAACCCAAGAAGGCACACAGGCCTTCTAGGTAGCCAAAACACATAAAGGTTCTTGGAGGGCAGAGCACCCAAGGAACAAATGGAATCCGTGCTGTCTCCATATGTCTCACCCTATATGTATCTCACATCTAGATGTTCATCTGTACTGCATACTGTCCTTTATAATAAATTGGTAAATGTGTTTCCCTGGGACCTGTGAGCTGCTCTTAGAAACTATTAATGAAACCCAAGGACAGTGGTGAGGCAGGACAATTTTTTTTTAATATTTATTTTTTGCCATTATATATGAGCTCTCTATTTTTTTGCATTACAATTCTTAATACACCTTTATATCACAATTTATCATATCTCTGATTGTATATAAGGTATGTTGATACCAAATTCACATCTTCATACATGTATTTTGTATAATGACAATTTGTAGCTGATGGCTGGTGGGCAGCATAAGTTGTACTGAGCCTTTAACATGAGATCTAATGCTATCTCCAGGTAGTATTAGAACTGAGGTGGTGTGTACTGGTGAACTGCATAGTATTATGGGGAAACACTCCTATGCATAAATTGTCAGAAGGGTTGAATGATGTGTAAATAGGGAAAGAATTTTTTTTTCCCAGTCAGGTGCAGTGACACACACCTACATTTCCAGTGACTTGGGGAGGCTGAGGCAGGAGGATCCCAAGTATGAGGCCAGCCTCAGCAACTTAGTGAGGACTTTAAATAACCAATGAGACTCTGTCTCAAAATTTTAAAAAGTGAAACAAAAAGGGCTCTGGATGCAGTTCAGTGGTAAAGCACCCACCCCTGGGTTCAATCCCTAGGTACAAAAAGAAAACAGTTTTTCCTCTCTTGGTCATCCTTTCCCTCCTCCTTCACCAACAGCCTCCTGAAATAGCAGTTTAAAACTCGGCTCCCTGGTCCACTAGCCGCTGGACCACAGAAATATCAGTGAGGGTTATGAGTGGATGTTTATGAAAGATGCCAGGGCCTAGAACAAATGCTCTTACTGTGATGCCTTGCAGTCTTGGGATCCTGAGGAAGGGAGTATGCATGTAAATATCTAGGAGGGGGAGAATGAAGAGGTGTTTAGGGGGTCAGGGAATCTTTCAGTAGCTCAACTGGCAGATGAGATTAAAAATTCAGCAGCAGAAAAAGTCAGGGCCACTGACAATTGGAAATATTGGCATGGGGCACAGAGGCCTCTTGGCTGGATTAGGACCAGATGGGTAATAGGCTGACCCCCTCAGCTGTTCATCTTGATAATTAAAATAAATCTTGCACCTGTGATACAAAATTAGCTCAGGAACCAAAGACAACCCTGGGTAAAGTACATTTGCTGCTTTGAACACAAAAGCTTACTATCAAGAGGCATCAAGTTTACGAAGTATTTTGTTTAGAGGAAGGGCTCAAGAACAATTTCTAGCCATTAACTCCTTGTCACCAGGATGGTTTAAAAAATAATTAAAAAGTCACTCAGGCTGGGAATGGAGCTTAGTGATAAGAGCAGTTGCCTAGCATGCATGAGGCCATGTTCAATCCCCAATACTGCATAATAAAAACAACCCCTCAGACCAAAAACTCAATTTTTTTTCCTTTAGAGCCAGGTGCAGTGGCACACACCTGTAATCCCAGCAGCTCCAGAGGCCATGCCAGGAGGATCCCAAATTGAAAGCCAACCCTAAGCAGTCAGACCCTCTCTCAAAATAAAATATAAAAAGGGGCTGGGGATGTGGCTCAGTTGTTAAGTGCCCCCATGTTCAGTCTTCTGTGCCAAAAAAAAAAAAAAAAAAGATCTTTTGCATTTAATTTTCATTTTTTGGTACCAGGAACTGAACCCAGGGGTGCTTAATCACTGAGTCACATCCCCAGCCTTTATAGATATATATATATATAATTATATAGAGTCTTGATGAGTTGCTTGGGGCCTGAGTTGCTGAGGCTGGATTTGAACTCACAATCCTCTTGCCACAGCCTCTCTGGGATTACAGTCACTGGGATTACAGGTCTGCGCCTCCACGCCCAGCTCCTTCAATTATTCCCTAATAATTGAACTATACTTGAAAGGTACAACTGAAGTCAATACTGAGGCAACTTCCTATGAAATAAGCCTTAACAGTATGGGTTAGTGGAGAGCACTGGATGATCAAGAGACCTCAATTAGTCCCATCTCTGCTGCCAAGTGAACTTGGGCAAATCTTTTGGTTTCTCTAGGCTTCTCTGATGTAAAAAAAAAAAAAAATGGGGAGACTGTGCTAGAGTGTCGAAACTTAGATTCCATGAAACTTATCATCAAATTCTTAAATTCAGAGTAACAGCAGGGACTGTCAATAAAGTAGCTTTCATACTCTTTGTTTTAGTCGGAAGAGACAGGATCATATTAATAAAAACTTCCATTATTTAAAGTGCTACCATGCAGAGAACAGGTCCACGTTGCCTTTACTCAGGAACTTGCCCAGGCTTGGCAAGCACTATACCACTGAAAGACATCCCTAACATAATATTTCCTTATTTCAATACCTGGAATTAAGCTGATTCAGCCATAGGCACAGTTTAAGAGAATTTAGAAAAAACAGCATTTTAATTCTTTTTATTTCAAGGACCACCTACAAGAATAACTTATGTTTATTCTCAAAAACAAAACAAAAACATACCCTGTATCCCAATTAATCTTAAATATCAGTTCTCTTGATCCTAATTTTATAAATGTACAGAAAACAAGACAGACCAACAAGGCTCATACGTTTTTCTTACGTAGAAGCTAAAGAAAAAGGAAAAGGTGGGAATCTCATGAAAATCAAAGGGAGATCAGTGGAGGAAAGGGACAAGGCAGAGGAAGGGAGAAGTGCTGGGGAGCCAAAATTATATTGTTATATTTTGTGCATGTACTAATATATAACAACAAATCCCACCATTATGTACAACTAACTATAATGCACCAATAAAAAATGTGTGTGTGTGGGGGGACAGACCAAGATGCTGACATAATTTAAATGGCAGGGTTAGCTTTTTATTTTCCTTTATTTATCTGCATTTTTCTAATCACCTAATACATTTTTTAACCAGGAAAACAAAAATACTAAAAGGTCATATTACCACACCTGAATCAACTGTTTAAAAATAACACAGCAAAACAGCTGAAAAGGAAAAAAAATAATAGTTATTTCTGGGTAACTTATGCATATTTTACTTTCCAAATCTTCTATCATGTGTATGTACTGACCTTTGATAATTGCAAAAATAACTGTCTTGAGATCTAGCTGGGTTGCAACTTGCAGCCTTCACTGAACTGGGAGTTTTGTAGTTTGTCACTAGAGCCTATTGCTCCCGAGGGCAATGCTGAAGGCATGTGGGGATGAGAGGTGCTGGGGATCAATATATTGAAAAGGGAGACACGGTTCAGATTCCTTCTTCTTAGGACTCACTTTGGGTGGGATGATTTCTATTGGCCTGGAGTGTGCATTTCCTCACTAGACCTCTAATTCTGTATATAGGTTATAATACTCCTGGTATTTACTTCCCTAGGGTTCTCCACTGCTTTTAAGCAGTACTGTGTAAGGATCTTGCATTTTGTCCGAGAGAGAAATATTATTTGTCTTCATGGTCCCAATAACCATCTTCCTCCTATGGTCACGAGGATGGCAGTGAAAAGTCTTATCTTCAAAAGGAAAAAGTCCCTTTACAGACTAGGGTCTGAACCCAACCACTAGGCCACATCTAGTGCTAATGTCCATTCAGATATGTGAGAATCACAGCACTGTTAGAGCAATAATTTACATAGGTGATGCCTATCATAGACACAAGTTCCCTGCATAAACTATCCTAGTGGGTAAACAGCAACACTTTCTTGGCCTTCCTTTACAGTGCCTGGAAATTGAGAGACCCTAAATCAATGTGTTCTAAAGAAAAATAAGCAAAATACCCACCACATCAAAAAAATAACATAACAGTGCTCATTTAAAAGTTCCTGCACACTCCCAGGGACCAGTGATCTTCATTTTAAAGACCCATTACTTCATAGGTGTCCCAATAAGCATAACTAAGAATAAAAAAGAATTGTAGATATGCAGATTTTACAAAATGAAATAGTCACATCCCAAACTAAAATATGTTTGATCTGCTGTAGCTATTCTTAATAGCATCATCCTTCTGCTTGATAAGTTCATTAAGATAAAGAGTTTACATCTTTTTCACTGGTGCCTTTCAGGGTCCAGCTCCTCTTTCTTGTTTTTTAACATATATTAATAAATCTCTCACACTACAAACTAAATATGTTATAAATGTTAACAATCATTCTTGAAAGTTTTTTTTTTATTTCCATGACTATTAAAATTAAAACCCTAAATGAGAAAAATAACGACCTCTATCAATTGCAGTGATACACATTATTTAAAATTATATATTATAAATTACATATAACATGTAAATGTAACAAAAAAATTTAGTTTTGAAAAATGTTTTATTCAAGAATTACATAATTTCAGTATCTTCCAAAATACAGTTTCCTAGATCACTACAAAAGAAAGCAAATTCAGTAAGAAATTCAAATCATTAAATATGTTGCACTAGTATATACATACAGAATGCCAAGCAATAATATTTAGCCCTGGAATGCGTACCATGTGTTTTCCTCATTAAAGGCTCAACCCAGCACGTTGTATAGGCTATGTACAATAGGCAAAGTTCTGTGTACATAAAAGTTTGACATTAGCTGCCTCAATTTATAGCTGTGGTAGTTTGTCCACTGGGGTGTCAAATTTGAAATCTGGAGGAAACAGATCTGGGGCCCGAGGGTAGATCAGCCTGTAGGACTGTCTGATTGTAACATCAGCTACACCAGCAATATCTCCAATCTCTAAAAGACAAAAATCAAAACATTAAGTATCTCTTTCCTCCCACCTCCTTTCTACTACCAAAGTGAAAAACAAAATTAAAAAATACTGATTTTTTTTTTTAAATGATAATGGGAATCCAAACTGAAAGACAAGAAACAGGAGTTAAAGACAGTAATAACAATAATGGCAGTAGCACCTATTACCTTAAAATTTGTCTACAGTATTATAATGTTTAATATATGTAAAACAACTCAGGGCATAGTACTATGAGTGATAAACATTATATTGACCATATTTTTAAATGACTACTCTTTTTCTTTATAAATCTTCTTGAGGATCACAGAGTAATCCATGAATATGTTCTTTTTAAATTAATTTTTGTTTATATGACAGTGGAATGCATTACAATTCTTATTACACATACACATAGAGAGCACAATTTTTCTTATCTCTGGTTGTATACAAAGTATATTCACACCAATTTGTGTCTTCATCCATATACTTTGAAATATGTTCTTATAAAGAAATTCACTACCCAGGTCAGGTCTGGTGCCACACATCTATAATCCCACCTACTTGAGAAGCTGAGGCAGGAGGATCACAAGTTTGAGCTCAGCCTGGGCAACTTAATGAGACCCTGTCTCAAAATTTTTCAAAATTTAAATAAAGGGCTTGGGATGCAGCACAGTGATAGAGCACCCCTGGGTTCAATCCCCAGTACTGCAAAAAGAAAAAAAGAAATTCATCGTCTCTTTCTACATTTGAAAGTTTATCTGTAACATCTAAAACCAAAATGAAATAATATTTCTCTACAACCTCTTTTTTCCTAGAGATCAAGCATCTATAACAGCTTAGATTTTTTTTTTACTATTAGAAGTATACATTGTGCATATATATTGAACTCAAGTCATCAAAGAAGTAAATTAAATCTTTCTTAATAAATATAAAAGGTAAAAAATGGATCTAAACTAGCCTTTAAAAAATGAGTAGAGGACAAAGGGAATGGATAATGGCATACCTGAGTAATTAATGCTGGCTTTCCCCCTCTAATCATTCTTCTGTTACCATCTGTTACTTACATCAAAGTATAGCCTAAGCTGAGGTGAAAGGCTGTTCTGAATCAAGTACTACAAAGTTACTTAAGCCAGTAATTCATGAACCCACGTTAAAATTTAGAATTGACTCTCCTTTTTCTTCATAAAATTTTTTGAGGATCATAGAAGTAATCCATGAATATATATACTTGCAAAAATGATTAATACTTCTGGTTGAAAGTTTCCCTAGAGGGCTGGGGTTGTAGCTCAGTGCTTGCCTACCACACATGATGGGTACTGGGTTTGATCCTCAGCACCACATAAAAAATAAAATACATAAAAATAAAAGCATTGTGTCCATCTACAACTAAAAAAAAACAGGCTGTGCCTTAAAAAAAAAAAAAAAAAAGCCACACACTAAATTTAAAAATGACTTTATAGAAGGTTGAACTACTTATGTCTATGTATTTCAGAAATTTCATTAAGAAACTATGAATAGTGGCTGGGGATGTGGCTCAAGCGGTAGCGCGCTTGCCTGGCATGCGCAGGGCACTGGGTTCGATCCTTAGTACCACATAAAAATAAAATAAAGATGTTGTGTCCGTCGAAAACTAAAAAAATAAATATTTAAAAAAAATTCTCTCTTTAAAAAAAAATTATGAATATGGTTCAAAGGGAAAAAAGAACAGGCTTCACAGAACATTAAAGGTTGATGGTCAACAATATTGACAGTGTGTTAATCAGCAGGGTCATTAGAAATAAAGCATTTCCCACTGCCCCTCCCAAGATTTAAAAAGGTTAAGTTTATGGAGGGAAAAATGACTCAAAATGATCAGGAATATTTAAGGAAAAAAATTACAGAGAACTCACAAAAAAGTGAACAATGTAAAAAAAATTAAATAAATTTAAAAAAAGAATGAACAATGTACAAATTAAAATTATATAATTCAAATGGAAAAAAAAGTTTGTACATAGCTGTGCCTCCAAACATTTTTATTTATGAGTCACTTAAAAGCAAAATACTAGATATTTTTATGTTTTGTGGCTGAGGAACTACCTCTGAAGTGTGGGTTCTGGATACTTAAATGCTTCACACATAAAATGGAAAAAGACATACTTTAGCCTTCATAATTCATTATTAACATTCCTCATGAAAACCCCTACCTTTTTGGGTCCTCTTCTCAGCTGATGCCTGTGAAGCCATGTAAATAGCTGCTGCAGCCACAGAGATCGGGCTCCTCCCAGGAACCAAGTCCAATTCCACAGCCTTACGGGCTATATGTGTAGCTGCCATTTGAACTTGCTTGGGAAGACAAAGGTTGGAACAGAACCTGGACATGAAGTCCCCAGTTGTAATCAAATCCACACTTGTTTCTAAAGCTTTCAAAATAAGTTTAAAACATCGGCCAATTTCTTTCTTAGAAATTCGTGATACAGCACATATTTCTAAAAGAAAAAAAAATCCATATAAGCCATATAGTTCATTTAAAAACCTATCATTTCTGATTAAATAACACATTGCAGTTGCAAAAAAAAAAAAAAAAAAACTTAACCATGCCTAAAGATGAAACCCTAATCCTTTCAGTGATATTTCCCATTGAGCTAATTTAAAATTTCTTGGTTAATGTAAATGTTCACCACACTTTAAATTTAGGTCTTAATCTTTGAAAATATTAACTTCTTGACAGTTTCAATTTATGCAAATAGACTTCTTTAATCAAAAATTTCTTGGGTATTTATATGTTAATCTGTTATAGGGAGGGTACCAAGGAGATGAAAGAAAATACTCTAGCTAAAGAATGTTTCTCAAGCTACACAGTCATGTATGCATGTAATTCCTGCGATTACAGGCTATAATTAAATGAGATAAATATTCAACACCCTTATCCTAAATATTCATCCACCAAGCACTTTCAGAATAAACTTAACAAACTTCTTTTTTTTAGTTGCAGTAACAACACAAAAGATGGTGATAAAGGCCATCACTTCTTTTCTTTGACCTAAAACATGTTAATAAATATTAATTGGATGAATGAAGAGTAAGTTCAGCCTTCAGCTACAAAACTTTTGTCAGTGTATGCATCATGACAACACTATGAATAGGTTGTCATATATTTATGGGTAACTGCAAACTGTATGAAAAATACCAATTATCTCAAAGCCTCTAAATTAAGTGTTAAACTGCAAATACTATATACCTCAAAAGAAAAAAATCTCACTGATGTTTTCCAAGGCTTGACTCCTACACCTATAGAGAAAGATCTATGCTAGAAATGACAGCTGTTTTTATGCATCAAGTGTACTGACTTCCTACAAAGAGCCTATTATAGCTTTGATGCCAGGCCATAAACCCATAAAATATAGTCCATCAAAATATCTTACTAGCAAAGAACACAGTGGCCTAACATAGACTTAAAACAAACCTACATGGGAAAACAGTTTGAAAAGAACATGGTCAGTAAGATCTCTTTTATGTTTTTGTTGTCAAGGAACAAAATAAAGTGGCACTGGCAAATAATGTTCAGGTGGATTACTATACCTAATGATGAAGACAGGACTTGGCTTCTAAGTATCAAAGCAGCTTGACTTCGGTCTGTTACTTTATGCAACTAAAAACTCACCTTTAAATGTCCTAGGAACCCCTTCTTGTCTACAGGCAATATAGAGACAAGCAGAAGCTATAGCATCGTTAGCTCTTCCCTTAAGGCTCTTCTGTTCATACACTTGCTTGAATAAATTATTTGTTCGATCCTTCAAAACAGAGAAACTAAGTTTAATTAACTCTAGGCCATTTAATTAGTTACAATATCAAAATTGCATATGCTCACTAAATTATGCAAAATGAATGCCAGAATGGCTTAAAGGAGGTAGACAAAAACTTACAACTATATTTCGAGGGAGGTTGATTCTGTCTGCCATGGTAGTAATTTCCTTGAATGCATTCATCATTGCCCGATCCGAACTACTCATTGTTCTCCGATTCTGGTACTTAGAATTGCCAAACTCATCAAAACTTGCAGCTCCTGTACCCTATAAAACATTTTTATAACTTGCAAGAAACTTTCAGAAAACTTGAATGAACAATTTCTATGAAAATACAAGTTATACAATCTGACTCCAAAGCCCAAGAAATTTGCACTGTGCATCCTACCTTTCCCTCAAATAGAAAAAGTACCAGGCTAAGATGCTTTAAAGAGGTGTTTTATCACTTAAGGAATATATAATTCTGAACAATTATTTGAGGCCACAGAAAATAGAAAACAAAGCAGTCCAATTTCATTTATAAATATGATAAAATAGCAAATATTAGAAAACAGAATACATTTTTAATATATCACGACCAAGTGGAGACTTTCACAAATGCAAAATATGTATTATTGGAGAATCTAATAAAAAATAAAACATCATAATATTAGATCTAAGAAGAAAACTCATATGATCTCCAAAGGTACCAAAAAAGATGAAAAAAAGTCAGAATTCATTTTTTGGGGGCGTGGGGGGATACCAGGGATTGAACTTAGGGGCACTCAACCACTGAGCCACATCCCCAGACCTATTCTGTACTTTATTTAGAGACAGGGTCTCACTGAGTTGCTTAATAGCTCGCCATTGCTGAATCTGACTTTGAACTCGCATCCTCTTGTCTCAGCCTCCCAAGCTGCTGGAATTACAGGCATGTGCCACCACACCCAGCCAGAATTCATTTTTGATACCTTCATAGAATACTACACATGGATATTTCTTCACAATAGAAAAATCTCTCCAAGGGCCAAAGCCAGCACTACGAATAATGAAAAAACATTAGTAGGATTACCAACAAAGTAGATGCAAGACAAAGGTGCCTCCTTCAACAACCACTTTGTAACACTATACTAGAAAAAAATAGCCAATATTGTTAAGTAAGAGAAAAACAGTAATACAAATTTGGAATGGAAATGATTAAACTATTTGCAAGTAATATCTTTGTATACCCAGAATACTCAAAAAAATCACTAAAAAACTGCTATTGTTATCAGTAATAAAAGAATTCATTAGGGCTGGGGCTCAGTGGTAGAGCACTTGCCTGGCATGCAAGAGGCACTGGATTTGATCCTCAGCACCACATAAAAATAAAATAAATGAAACAAAGGTATTGTGTCCATCTATAACTAAAAAATAAATATATAAAAAATAATTCATTAAAGTCACAGGTCAAGATTAATGAACAGAAATCAACACCTTCCAACACACATTTAACCAGTTAGAAGACAATGAAGGAAAATATTCCAATTACAATGGTAATGTAAAAAATAAATTCTGGAAAATTCACTTATATGTAAGATGTTCATGAAGAAGATATTAAAACATCCCTAATGGACACATAAGAATTAAGGAAATTGAAAGCCATACCATATTTTTGGATAGAAAGATGTATCAATAAGTCAATTTTCCCTGTATCATTTTGTAAATAAATATAACCAAAATCCCAGTAAAAATAATCAAGATTTTGTTTTGCTTTGTTTTTGAAAAACAGAACAAAATGATCGCTAACCTTTAAATAGAAAAGATTAGTGAAGAAAACACTGAAAAAGAAAAGCAATGAGGATTAGTGCCACCGGATTAACTAGACCAAAACAGGAACAGATAAAGTCCAGAAATATTCCCAAATACATATAAAAATTTAGTTTACAATAAATGTAGCATCTTAAAATTTTTCTTTTTTGCCATGTAAGAATAAAACGTTCAGGGCTAGGGTTGTGGCTCAGTGGCAGAGTGCTTGCCTAGCATGCATGTGGCATTGGGTTCGATTCTCAGTACCACGTAAAAATAAAATATTGTGGCCACCTAAAAATAAAAAAATAAATATTAAAATAAGAATAAAACTTTCAAAGAATATAGAAGAAACTAATAATAGTGGCTACTTCTGGCAGAAAAGAGGCATTGCAGTGGGAACTCAAGAGTTTAGGGATCAAGGGTAAGGAAAATTTACTATATGCTCCTTTCATACATTTTTTGAATCACGTATTTCCTATTGAAAAAATTAAATAACAAAAAGTCACAGTGTCAATTAGTTACAATCTTACATTTTAAAATACCTATAAGTATGCTTTTTTTCCAAGCCCATAAGGCTTAAAGCAAATGCAGACATAATCTACTTAAAAATATTTCTGGATTTAATACTGTAAACTTTTAACCTTTTATATACCATGTTGTCCAAATTTGATATGCAGTTTTATCAATTACAGCATGCAAAAAATACCTAATAACCTGGGTTTTTTTCATGATACTTTCTTAAATACAGAATATGTATTCTTGGGAGGCTGAAGCAACAAGCCAAGTTGGAGGTCAGCCCAGGCAACTTAGTGAGACCCTATCTCAATATAAATAGAAAGAGATAGGGATGTAGCTCAGTGTAGAGTTCTACCAAATTCAACCCTAAGGACTGCACAAAAGAAAATAAAAAACGGTACACAATAGTAATATCTTAAAATGTAAACACCCCCTTGATTAATCTTGCAAAATATTTCACCACTATTTCCAATTCAGATTACAAAGTAAAGAGAATCAGGCTATCAGGGAAGTTATGCTATTGCCTTATATAATAATCACCACCACCATTTACTGAACACATTCTATATACTACATTTCCATAAAACCCTTAACTATGAAGTATTTAGTGTACAGGGAGAAGACAATTTTTCTTGAGGGGGCGGGGTGCAAGTATGGTATTGGGGATGGAACTTTATGGTGCTCTACTACTGAGCTAAGTGATCCCCAGTCCTTTGAAAATCTCAGCAACTCAGGAGGCTGAGAGCAGGATCGCGTATTCAAGACCAGCCTCAGCAACTTAGCAAGACCCTAAGCGACTTAGAAAGACTCTGTCTCAAATTTTAAGAAATCAGATAAAAAGGATTGGGTATGTAGCTTGGTGGTTAAAGTGTCCCTGGGTTCAATCCTCAGTACAAAATAAATACATACATACTGTAATTTTGATTTGATGTTTTCCCCTCCAAGATGGAAAGAACACACTAATCAGCCATCATCCACAGTGGTATTACTGGCAAATTTTATTACCAGGCCAATATTCCCCAATGAGACCAGTGTCTGATATTTTTGCAAAGATCCCAAACCCGGGTCTTCGGTCACTCTGCACTAGGTATTTCCTGCTGATTGCGAGTATTACCTTGCCAATCATAGTAGACAAATCTCCATCACTCAAAAGAGGATTCTGAGAATCTCCAACTCGAGATGGATCTTTTGTTGCTTTGTCATTACTGAAAGTTCTCCACTCGGATCCCACATCAATAACCCGGTCACCTAAGAATACAAGCACATATCTAAATTATCCTGTCAAGGTAGGATTTACTTACCAACACTGTCTAATGTTATACCAATGTTTTTTATTCCCAGGAAATTTCAACATGGACATCTAGGTACTGGCTTAAAGGTCATGTCTCAAACATCAGTCCTGAAGCACTCTAACTACTATGTCTTTTCAGTAACAGTCCTCTTCAAACATTACGCTATAATTATTCATATTATAACTCTGAGAATAAAAAGAATTAGTCAAAATAATAAAATACAGTCATTCATGTGTGATGTAAAGATAAAACACCATAATAATAATTTAAAACAAAATTAAATTTTGTACAAAATTGTGACATGGAAAAATAACAGTACAAACTATTCAGAATGGACTACTTGGGAGGCTGAGGCAAAAGAAGTTCAAGTTCAAAGCCAGCCTGGGCAACTTAGTGAGACCCTGTCTCAAATTAAAAAGAGATGGGAACATAGCCAAGTTTTCATGGGGAATGCTTTGCAGAAAATAAGCCTAAGCTTGTAACTAATTGATAAAAAATATTTCTGACCAAATAATCTATACAGAATAAACATTAAGCCTACAAGCAATGAGAAGAAAGCCACATAAGCAAACTTCTTTTTGAGCAAAGAAGCAGCAGCAAAGTATGCCATATCAAAACACCAGATATGAGTAAATCTGATTACTGCTTTAGGGTAAAAAGCTTAATGGTTGGTAATATCTTCAGAGTAGAAAAGAGGTAACACATGCATCCTTTCTAAATGTTCTCATTTAATCTTCATGGCCTTAAAAAGTAGGCACTACTTTCGTTGCTACTTTTAAAAGGAGATTAATTGGCCTAAGATCACACAGCTTGAACTGCAATGTATATCAGATTCCAGAATTTGTTCTGTAGTGCATTTGTAAAAGATGAACTCTTTCAATGAATTGTGAAAAAGATGAAAGGATGAGCCACACCATTTTCATCTTTATGTACATATAACATGCAGAAAGGAGAATGGAATGGCAGAAATCATCTTCTGTAGCAATTAAAAGAAGTTATGGTACTGACAGTTAATGTAATAATTAGAGTATGGTCTCTGCCATTTGTTGCTTAGCCGTGGATTAACTTCATTTCTATGTCTTTATTTCTTCAGCTTTAAACTTCTCCAATAATGTTATATTTTGAAGACTAAAGATAAAATAAGCTAATATTCATGTATAGTCCACATAAGGAGCTTAAAAAGTAATTCTAATTTAAGTATTCAATATTAGCTATTTATAGTTAAGAAAATAAATAGCTGGGAGACATTCTCCCTTTTGGTGTGGATGATGATAGAAGCTTCAGTTTTAAAACTTTAATCTGCATATTAGACTTTAAAAGTATCCAAGTGCTTTGCTGCAGAAATTTATGAGTAGGACAGTGAAGGAGAATGGAATGAACAGGAGAAACTCAACTATATATCATTCTAAGTCTTTTAAAAAACACATTAAGGGGCTGGGCTTGTGGCTCAATGGTAGAGTGCTTGCCTAGAACTGGTTAGGCCCTGGGTTCAACATGAAAAATAAATAAATAAAGATTAAATTCTTTAAAATAACACATTAATTAAAATGCCACAAAACAGTACAGTGATATAATCTAATCTTAGTGATATTTAAAAGAATAGGTAATCACACAACAGAATGATTATTCCTGAAGGCTTTGGACAAGTTCAATTTTCTTTGAACTGCCAAATCATCTGTAAGTAGATTATCACCTGGACTAATATGTGTCCATGTCACAAGAGTTAGTTTAGGCAGGGTGATTGTCTGCCATTCTCATATGCAATGAGAACCATCAGGGATGGCAGACACAGGGACATCAGTTATAAAGCAATCTCAGAGCCAGCAAGGTGCAATGGGGCATGCCTGTAATCCCAGCGGATCGGGAGGCTGAGGCAAGGGGATCAAGAGTTCAAAGCCAGCCTCAGCAAAAGCAAGGAGGCACTAAGCAACTCAGTGAGACCCTGTCTCTAAATAAAATACAAAAATAGGGTTGGGAATGTGGCTCAGTGCCCCTGAGTTCAATCCCTGGTACCAAAAAAAAAAAGAAAGAAAGAAAATAAAAAGCAATTTCAGCATATCAGATCAAGCATGTGGCCCAAAAAAGGAAATGTTAAATGGATAGAATTGTCACAGTTTCTTCTGCTTTCTCCTCATGGTAACAAATATCACTAACTTAGAAGGAATTCTGATTATAAAAATTTGATTTAAAAAACTTACCTGAAAGTATCATAAATGTATCATACACTGAAACCTTACTACAACATTAACCAACAAGTCCATGTCTCAAAGAGATTTAATTTTCTTGACAAGCTCTTTTCATTAAATTTTATATAATAATATACCAGAACATTATTTTAAAGGCAAAATGTTCTTCCATTAATATCATATACCAATTAAAGTGATGCCATGGTATTTCCATGTCCTTATATTTTCAAAGGGCTAAAAGTGAATCCCACTTCCCATTTAACAAAATAAAAAGAAACATGCATGAGACAAAAATTACTGTGACCTTTAAATCTAGTTACTACACTCAAAGTTTTTTGAAGTCAAATGTCATCATTTGATTAATGATGACAATCAAATCATTAACTTACAATTTTATTTATTTATTTATTTATTTATTTATTTATGCAGTATTGGAGATTGAACTCAGGGGAGCTCTAACACTGAGCCATACTCTCAGCTCTTTTAAATTTTGTTTGAGACAGGGACTGGCTAAGTAAGTTGCCCAGGCTGTCCTCAAACTTGTAATCATCCTGTCATCAGCCTCCTGAAACACAGGGATTACAAAGTGCATGCCACCATGCTTGGCAATTTACAACTTTCAAGTAATCCCAGCGGACTGGGAGGCTGAGGCAGGAGGATCATCAGTTCAAAGCCAGCCTCAGCAACAGCAAGGTGCTAAACAACTCAGTGAAACCCTATCTCTAAATAAAATACAAAAATAGGGCTGGGGATGTGGTTCAGTGGCTGAGTGCCCCTGAGTTCTTAATGTATTAAGAGAATATGGCAAATGAAAATGCAGGTAAGTATGCCCACATCTTTTAAGTCTCTCTACAAATGCAAAGATAAAGCAATAATAAGCCAAGATACTTCAGAGTATTTTCCTTTTGGTCCCAAAGTACTTTATCATGAGTTTCTTTTCTGCTTGCTTCACACTGCCTTACAAAAAAAAAAAAAAAAAAAGATAAAATGGCCGAGCCTGGTGGTGCACACCTGTAATCCCAGTGGGTTAGATCTGTAGTACTGGGGGGGGGGGGGGTACAAAAAACTCATTTGCTAATTTTTGAAATTTGATTTGGATATTCTAGATAGAGAACCCCATCAGTAGCAAACAACTTCCTCCATTTCCAATATCTATTCTATAAAGTGTTGGTTAGAACTTTCAAAATTATGTTCCTGATTTTTAACAGAAATATTCCAACATAATGCATTTAAGTCATGAGTAAAACGAAATAGTCCTTCTATTAAACCATGATTCTACTCTATTTCTCTTACATTTGGAAAAACTATTACCTTACAGACCACAGTGTTTCCTAGATACCATCTTATTATAAAAGCTGACCATAGTTGTTTTAGATTATTCTTCTTGTAATACTTCTGTGTAGGATAAATTACACTTGAACAACAAATTACTACAAAAGCCTAATAGCTTAGAATGAAGATTTCTTATTCATACTATGTGTCTACAGATGAACAGCTGGGGGCTTTCTATGCCATCATTAGTCAAGGTGTTGAAATCTCTACCACCTGAGGTATCACCAGTCATCATAGTAGGAAGGAGGAAATGAGGCAAATTTTGCACTGACTTGTTTCTGACCCAAAGTAACATTAACATTTCCATTCACACTCCATTGGCCAAAGCTAGTCAAGCAGCCATGCTTAACTTCAAAGGGGAAAGGGAAATTACAATCATACCACAATACCTCAAAGGAAAAGAACCCAGAATGCCAGTAAATAGTCATCAATACTGTTCCGTATGACAATTAGCAAGCATAACTCAGCACTGAATTTTCAGGGATATATGTATAAATTCATGAAAAAACAATGTTCCAAGACCACCTTCTTGTACCAAATGTGACAAGCTGAAATTTCAGTTAACTTCACTGTATTTGGGCATTTGTCACAACAAAAATCTGTCAATATGACTTCAAGTCCTCTGAAAGTAACCATTTTAGTGGTTGCTTGGTTTGTGGTATTAGGGACTTAACCCAGGGGTGCTTTAGCAATCATCTACATCCCTAGCCCTTTAAAAAAACTATTTATGTATTTTTTTAGGTACAGTCTCACTAAATTGCTGAGGTTGGCCTTCAGCTCATGATCCTCCTGCCTCAGCCTCCTGAGTTTCTAGAATTACTGTGCCTGGCAGTTGGTTATATTTTTGTTCATAAAATTTTAGTTTTTTTTTTTAATTTTTTTTCCCAGTACTGGGGACTGTATCCCAGGGTGCTCTATCACTGAATTATATCCCCAACCCTTTTTATTGTTTGAGACAAGGTCTCCCAAATTGCCCAGGCTAGCCTTGAACCTGCAATCCTCTCATCTCAGTCGCCAAGTAATTGGGATTATAGGTCTATGCCACTGTGTCCAGCTTAATAAAATTTTACAAATGTTAAAAGGATATATTCCCCAGTGATGTTCAGGATTCCTGACTTGCAACCCTGATGTTTTCTGCTAGCAATATAAAGTTTCCATCTATTGTACCTTTAGTATTTTATCTCAGTCAATGGGATCTTCAAGTACAATGATGAAACCCTCATCCCCAAATCCAAAATGCTCCAAATTCCAAGATATTCAGATGAGGGACACTCTACTGGTAAATACACAAATATTCAAAAATCTGAAAAATTCCCAAATCTGAGACACTTTTGATCCCAAGCAGTTTAGATAAGGGATCATAATGGATATTTTATCTTCTTCTATCCTGTGGATGTGCCTCTATTTTTTTCTTTGGTTTACTAATTCAATTTTCTAG